CGATTGTTTAGTTCTGCCTTTTAGCATCGCTTCGACGCAACCAATGTGGTTGTTAAGCTTGAGTTGGCAAATAGGACAGTCGGCTTCTCGCTACTTTATTGCTGAGTAATCGTTCGGTCAACTTTTAGCCTGAGTAGATTTCGACAGCATGGGAGAGACACGTCAGGTTCACCCACCAACGAAGTATACTATGATAATTATTGGATCGCCTCCAATTAGTCGATGGCAATACGTATGACGACGAACGCGCTTGAACCAAACGAGGATCTAACTGCGATATAACTCTAACAAGAGAGACCCCTTATTTCTACCAATTTAAATTTATTTACTGATTTACCCACCGACGATTAACGTACGAACTTTTACAGCAGCAGTGACAACAATTAGTCGCTGCCGCTACTAACAGCTCTAATGTGCTTCAATATCTGTTTTCTTTCTTTTTCTTCTAGAATCTTCGTTTAGCTGCTCGCTTGTTACTTCGAACAGTCAAAAGCAGTCACTCAAAACTACGCCCAATAGAAAAGAAAAAAGCGATCGGCGACGGGGCCGCCACCGATGCGATGATGCCAAAGCGAGACGACCAACAAACGTCGCTATTAAAAGAAAAAAATACTACGCAATTACATTACGTAGAGACGTTCTCGGCTCATTTTATCACTGCAGCTGCCCTTAAGGCAGCAGTGGAGGCGGTGATGGCGGTTCACGGCGCTTTTTAACGTTTTCTAACGCAAGGCTGATCTGATCTCACCAGCTGAACAGGCAGCCACCGCCGCCGCCGCCGCTGCAACCAATCAAGCTGGCATCAGTAATGCGTCCAGTGAACGCGGGAGGTGCTTAGGACACCCATTCTACGATGTCATGCACTACGCCGGGGTTACTGAGAGATCACGGCCAGTTGAACAGGCGAACGCAGCGAGAGCACCGAAATGGAAACATTGTGAAAGTAATAACTAGCACCTATGTTAATATAAGTAAAGTATACACAGAAAAGTTGGAGACGGAGCAAGCGATCGAGTAGTGCACGAGTGTGGGGAAAACGTAGCAATAAAGTGCCCTTGTCGATAACGGCGACAATGGCGAGAACGGTCACCGCCTAGTAAGTGACGATACTTCGGTACGCTAATGCGGAAATAGGAGGCCAACGGAGGAGTGTTATAATAACACATTTCATTCAGAGTCATCGTTAATGGAATGGTGAAAGCTACCAGAAAGGGTTATTGGTAATGGGAGAACTTTTCTTCCGCGTACTCCAGCCTGCCTTTTCAATTACATACTGTCGCCATCTTTGCATTAGTGTAGATAGAACACATAAATGCTATTTTACACTGTTGCCGCAGAAAACGACCGTATACATCTAACAAAAATTAGGGGGTGATTAGAATTAGATTAGAAAAACTACATAGCACCCTTTCGGATGACACCTAAACATAGCAAACTATCTGAGCAACTGCAGGTCACTTTCTACGAAGTGAAACAAAGTCCAGCAGATTTAACACGTGTCCTAGTGTTTTATTCGGTGTCCTAGTTGGACAGATAGACATCAACCTGACCACGTTTCACTACGCTAATCATGCAGGACACACTTATGTCGTTACCGCTTTCACGAAACCTATGTTCAAATAACATACCACCGCTTTACTAATAACAAACAGCTGTGTATGCGCCACGACTTACGTCGTCCATTTGAAGTAATTTGTGCGTGCTATGGATATAGGGAGAAGGCAGGGGCCGGCGCTAAAGCCGAGACTAATCAGCTAATGAGCCGTCTTTCTTATAATTCATTGTAGCATTTACTGAGCCAAGTAATCGTCGAAATGTGTAGTATAACTCGTTCGATGCGATGCCACATGCCCGCGCACATAAGCAGCGCACCTACCGATATCGGTAGGCGACTCGTCCTGCCCTATTAGACTTCATAAGCAGCAAAAACTACGATAGTACGCAGCTGGATTACTGCCTCTACTCAAAAGACCACCAAAGTCATGGCGGCGGCGGCGGCAGCAGTAGTGGGCACTGCTCGCCCGGATCGGCACTCAGACAAACGCAGATCTACTGCTACGGTCCACACAAGCACATGCGGGTCCAAACTCGTGTGCCACCCAATCTTACTCACATGACCTATACGTACCGTATATGTAGGTGTAAGATAGATTCTCCTGTAGCATCCGCCACAGCCAGTCCTAATATCATACTGTAAGCGGTTTCTGTCGAATGCGAATGCTACTGCTGCTGCTACGAGCTGACTGATTGACTTGTGGCCTGCATGGGTCGCGCCTGCCGCAGCAGCGGCGCTGAACACCACCGCAACGTTGTGCTGCCACTCGGGTCGCTGCTCCCAAAGAGCAGCCACAAAACCCGAACGTTATTCGTTGCTACTGCTGCTACAGAAGCAAAAGCTAGACAACAGAATAGAAGTGAACCGGACTGAAAGGCAGAACCGCACTGAAGTGCCGCAGCAAAGCACAGCAGAGGCCGCGGTTGACTTCGCTGTGCCTAAACCAAAGTCAGAACAGCAAAAGCACTAGCCACCAGTTGCCTAGAAGCAACAGTAGTCGTAGGACCACTGAAACCGTCGCAGCAAAGGCAGCGGCAGCAAATGGGCGGAGGTTCACTTGCTGGCTGGCTAGCTACATCTAGCTACCTAGATACCCGGCTGTAAGCGACCACTTCGCCCGTCATTTATTTCTGCTCCGCCGACATTCTACGCTAAACTATACAATGCAATATAACGCAACACTACGGTGATGGATAAGCTGAGGAGCGAGCGCCCATTCGACGACGAACGACTTCACTCTCTGACAGCGCCGAAGTCCACGTCAATGACAAACCTATCGCTAGTATCATTACAGAATTCATCTGTGGCCAGGGCGCATACTACTACGGCTGTGATTCTTGTTCGGCAACACACTTAGTGGATCTGTACAGTTAAATAGTAATAGCGCATAGGAATACAGGTAGACTAACATAGCTTAATAAGTAGTCTTCATCACAGGTGTGCTAGTTTTCGATAGTAAGTCACTTAGAATACTCACAAGCGGAAAATTGAGACCTACTATAATTCCTACATTTAGTAGGCCACTGCCAGTGATTCCATGCCACGATACTGCCCAATAGGTTTGCGGGTATGAAAGATACATAACATCGGATAGTTAGTGGATATTGTTATAAGCTCAAATCTTAATACCAATGATCAGACTGCATCGCCCCGGGTCGATGTAACACTTCCAGAACCGATTAAAGAAAAAACGACTACGACTTGCACTTAAGGTTAAAGCAACAGAGGGAGCATTACACACTCTCCCGGTGAAATGAAAAAAAGAAAGAGATAGAGAAAATATTTAACTAGAGTTCTTTGTGTATGGAAATATGTCAAACTACAGTAGGGAACGAGAGAATTGATTTCAGTGTTTCATAAAACTTACGTTGAACTTTTATGTGCAACCGGCACAGTATTTCCGTTGAATTCAAACAATGAGGTTTCATTTGATATGAGCTGTTGTTTCCAGTAACCGGAAAGCACCATTCTAAATGCAGATAGACATTGAAAGACCATGGAAAAAAAATGAATGAAATGAGTGTTATTTGTAAGCTTGGTAAGCCAATGCTCAAGGCTTATTTTTCCCGAGTGCTTAATGTATTGTCATAATAATAATAATAATAATTCTAATGTTGTTCCAATGGAAGGAGCTGATGAACAGTCTCAGGAATGGGCGCCCATAGCAAAAGCCATTGCGATGATATCGATGTGATAGGTCACAGCCTAGATAGCTGTGCAGGCGAGGACTTGTCCTTAACAAGCCAACCAGATAAACGTCAGACATATAAGCCGTCGCAAGAGAGTGTCCATGACGACGACCAACACTAAGACGAAAGATACATAAAAGGCCAACGAGCAATCAGGATACGGCTAAATAGGTGACCGCCTATTTAGATCACACACGTCGAAAGAGTGTCATAGTTTTCAAGCAAATCATCAGAAGGCAAACTAACAACGCGGTTGCAATGCGCCTGAATTATTGGCTCGACTCCACCTCTTCACAATCATACTTCATAGCTTGACAGCCAGGCACATACTCCTTCGACAGAACAGAATTGAAAAACTATCATAGCAGTACCTAGAGCTATTCTCTCAAATTTGTCTTCAAGTACAATCCAATTTCAATTTTCCCTGTCCTAAACTCTAGGTCTGATGTCCATTTGACATTCGTACGGACGCTGTACAACGACTGTGTACAGATCGCTGGACTTCAACTGCCACCGCCGCCATCACTAGAAGCAACCGGCAACTCTGATCGTCGACATTATCTCAGCACGTTGTCGCTATCACCAGGCAGGACGATCCCATAACTACAGCAATGTCTAACTACGGACCACTGATGTTACACGGTCGCCAATGAAAATAGCAAAATCACCATTAATTCTCGCTATGGGCACAGGCCACTGAACGTCGACAAAGATGATGGCGACTTGAACTCACTGTCCCAACCAGCCGCAATACAACCACTACGCGTCGACCCGAATCCTGTTATCCATCCGGCCTTGCCCACCAGTACTATCAGAAGCGACACTAGCATGAGTTGCTTTTGCAGAATACGACAAAGAACGACAGAATACAACTGAGCTACAGCAGCGACAGTGAAGTACCGAGCAATAAATCCCACGACGACGTATCGATGACGACCACAGTAATGTCAACCGGAATGCGGCAACAAATAACTAACAACTGACGATAAAAAATTCGCCACCATCCGGCCCCCCAGCACTAGCAGACTGCGATCTATTAGTCGCACCGGCAGTGGACCGTACCCGTGCGGTTTCAGTCAATAACTGTTACTGATCAGAGCGATGCATAGGCAATTAAATGGATTCGAGCAGAGCTAATCCGTGAACAGAGTGAACCGAGGCTGGACAACATTAGCGGAACTCCGACTCCCTGCTAATGATAATCTGGGATACCAAAGAATCTAACCAGGATACATCAAACGATAAGTAGTACTCACAGTATTTTTCCGCAGAAACGGTAGCGCGAGAAAGGTGTTCAGGCCGATAGCAGGACTTCATGAATAAATCGTCGCCGCAATAAAACCAATCACTCGAAATAATACTAATACTGAGTCTTCCGCAAATCTGGTTTCAAGCACACACACGTACGTTGATATTGTCTTCCTATACGTTATAAATTAGTTTACAATAGTTAAAAAATTATCCTTATCAAGCACTCGTTACATCGTGTTCAAGACGATACCACCGTTCACTATATATATCATGCATAGTGGTATAATTCATATGTGGAGCTTTGTTCTTCCTCTAGCAATAATCATTAGTACACGGAGACGCCACACGAAATTCACTAGCTAACAGTCAGTCAGCCAGGCGGCCAGTCAACTAACGAATACACGGCTGGAGAGTTTCACTCACTGAATCAACAGCAGTACTCTTCTAGCAGAAGAAAAGGAAGCTGCTAGAGAGTCAGCCAGCCAGCAGCCGCGGCTCCACTTTGCCTCTGCCATCATAACCCCGCTCACCCACTCGCCTGCTCACTGCCTGCCCCACTCGAGCCAGCCAGCGCAACATAGCAGCGGCAGCAGAAGCCGAGCGGGCGGCGGAACAGCGGACAAACAGGGAGACAGACGACCGCTGAATGGAGCTACGAAGACAACCAACGGCGGCCACCAAGCAAACAGCCATTGCACACAAGCAACATCGGCGGCCAACACAACTCAGCCAGCCATCTTTCTGGAGAGCAGAGTTGTTCACATCCACAGTGGACAGCCAAATACACTCACCCGCTCACTCATACAGAGCGAGAGAGAGAGAGCGAGAGCAAGGGAGGAGGGGGGACGGCATGCACTCTGATTCGGCCACCGACCGTAAACATCCTCTACTGGAGCGATACTTCGTGTAATAGATGGTGAAGCGCTCTTGCGCCTCGAAAACAACATAGTAGTGGGTGTGTCTTTGAGGGGGAGGGGGAGCGCGAAGCTTTGAAACGGACTGGGACAACAGAAATAGTATGAGGCGTGTGGAGTGAAATGCATTGTTTGCTTCATAACAAAGGAAACAATTTGAGTAAATTTTCCTACACTAATATTAAACGCAAATTATGAGAATTTCATTCCATAAAGCTATGCCGACGATGAAAATAGACATGTGTTTGAAATTGTATTTATCCTCAGAAGAAACCGATATGTAGATATGCGATTGAGGAGCTCTATAGGAGAAGAAAACGCACAATGTCTTGGTGTTAGTCCAGTTTTAAGCAAATGTCAAGTCGAGCCCCTTCACAAAATCACCGTCAAGCTAAGAGATTTTATCTCTCTTAAAAAATCTCAGTAAATAATATTTGGCATTTAAAAGTAGTCTTACCGTAAAAGATCTCTTGGACGATTTCTTGTGTTTCACGTTGAATGACAATAGGAAAAAGAAGGGACATAAATGGTAACGAAAAACCATCAGCATTTAAAAAGCACAGAGATGTTACACGGAAGCAATGCAGTATCAATGTAATATGCGCAAATCACATTGCAGGAGCAGTGATTTCGTAGGGCATACGTAAACGATGCTATGAAAACTGCAACGTTTTTTCCCGTAGCAAGTTTAATGGTTGAAATATAATTTTGCGCTGTTGAAACATACGAGGTCGCAGGATAGTTTGTTCGCGAGTCGTAGGGACGGATAGAGAGTAACGCAGAAAATTGAATCGAATTGTCTAGATGGCTTAGTGCATTCTTTAGGCCATGTGTGCGCTAAGCTAATTAAGCTGGCAGTCTTAGAGCCAGTTCTAAAACCTCTAGAAGGTTGAGAGCTGTGAGAAGCAGACATGGTCCGGGTCATGAAGAGTTCACGCATATATCGATAGGTCCACAACAGACTTAACTGTAAAATAGTGAGAATGGAATGCTCGACGAAAAGAGACGATGCGCGACCGAATCTTTATAATTCGAACATCAGCCTAAATGTTAATACGTCTAAATGCTTACAGAAGGTCTTACTCAAGATGTGCAAGTAGGAATCTATAAAGTTGTAGGAGGAATAGCTCAAAGATAGCAACAGCAATGCCGATCATAGAATAGTAAGCCTAATGTACACAGATGACTAACCAAATCCGATTCTTATCCAAATGTCCGACATCTTACCGATAAACTTTCTTAATCGATATACCTATCAAAATCGGCTGAATTGCTTGAACCTGAACGTAACAGACTCCGTTTTCGAAATATCTACAGAACGGCCAAATGTGTTGTAGCTGACTTTGAGATTGGCCGGCTGAGCATAAAAGGAACAGATGCCGGCTCTATGGGATGATCTGCGAATTTACACTATGAGAATGAGGTTGTCAGCAAAACAATGCGCCGCAAATTTTCGGGGAACCCAGAAGAATTGGGAAGAAATGGGACGTTTGTATAAGAGGTACATTTGATGAATTCACAACGAAATTCTATATGATTACACGGAGTTGATGAGGAAATAATCAGCTGAATCTGCATGACAAGTGTAGTCAGTCAAGAAACGATTGCTGCATGTGGAGCAACATAAACCCATTTTAAATGACGGGATAATGGTCTAGCAAGAAATATGTTTATAAAACATCGTGCGCGATGACATCCGAGTGCCTCCGTAACACACAATTAGGGGCACAGCGAAGACGCTTCGCCTATTACAATAATGTGTTGTCAGTCAGTGGTATTGCTGCAAGCACAAGAAGGCACGCTCCAAAATTCAAACAAAATTTTTACTAAAAATATAGAATCCAATCTGATGTTCTGTACACCTCTCAAAAATTAAATCAAAACCGAACAAAACTGAGATATACTTATTGGCCGATAGTTTGTTAGGCTATCACGACAATTCTTAAATAAAGTGGTAATATAAAAAAGGGTCTCGAAAGACTGAAGTGCATCGGATAAGATAAATATTATGCTACTAGATGAGCATTGTATTCAAAGCTTGTCGCACGATTCTCTCCAAGCAATCCAATAAAATAGAATTTTATAGACATGCTAAATGAGGCCGCTTTATGTGACGTGCCCAATGAGACATGCCATGGTGAGAGGTTTACTTTAGCTGAGCAAAACACTATTAATTTAGCTATTTTGTTAGTATGTTTGGTTGTCATGCCATCAGATTCCTTTTTTTGGTGGGACACTTGGTGGGACTAAAAGAGACCCGCTAAAAGGCTACCTGGATTAAGCCGTTCATAATGGGTGAAATTATTTATAGGGAAAACATAGTTTTAAACGCTGTACCGAGAACCGCTCAAAAAACTGACCGCTGAATCGAAGTCTGAAAACGAGTGAATGAGCGACCAGTCAGTAGAAGTGAGTTTAGTAAGGTAAGGGTTGCAGCTACTAAGCATCTTTCTTCAAGTTCTGAAGGTGCTTAATAAAGGCTTTCAGCTACCACAACAGCGTAAAGGTTCGAGAAGACATAGATTTGTTAATCGTTAATTATACCACAGGAACGCTTTGCGGCTGAAATGACACCTGTGATGTATACGCGTCTCAGGCCGTCCCCTGGTTACTTTTTTAATTAAAGCTAATAACCCATTAAAGGAGATACAGGAGAGACAGCTAGTCTAAATATTTCTCATCTACACTTAGTAAATTTATATTTGTATCCCCAAGGATAATTGTAGAAATATATTGGGAATCGATTATATCATCAAGCAACCTAACTGCTATATATCCGCGTTGTTGGAGTGCTATTATCAACGGCAATACACTCAGTAGACCGACGCCTTAAATGTACTCAAACCTGTTCAAAAGGCGATAAAAGCTATTCAACACAGCGTGTCTTAAAAGATCCATCAAAGTGTAAAAAACATGTACAAAGGTCCTTGAGATGCATGCGATATCAGTTTTGTCTCTTGCAAAATATTTTAATATAATAATCTAACATCTAATTTAGCATCTAGTTTTAACTCTAATGATACGAATATGATTACGCAACATGGCCACTTCGAAAGAAGATCAAGTTCAGCACTCCGCTAAAGGATGTGTTTAGTATATATGTATATATCATTAGCAAATATTTCTTTTAGGTACTGCTTTGTTTGCCTGCTGATTAATCCAAATAGTTCTCATCTAGCCTTCTTGTAGTGTCCAATCGTCTCAGGCGATGCCTAATGGCTGAAGTACCAGACATAAAATTCCAAAATTGTATTTAAATCTTTGTTCCAGTGGTATCATTCGAAACTCTATCTTCACTTTCGTCAACAACATTTTGCGTATGACAATCAATATACGAGTAGCGGGTCAGCTGTGCTGCTTCTGGCTATTGTAATCTAATTAGCCGCGATGGTATCATCTGTTATGCTAAAGTACCCTAATAAAAACGTATAGCTTTAAGCGTTACAATCTCTCAAATGATGATCTGATTTAGGCTGACACAGAAAACAGTACAACTGTTCTTTGCAGCGGAAGCAGAACGCAAAAGTACAGTCCCCTTTCACACAATCAGGCTGAACGAGACACCTACGGCATTGTATTGCAGTTTCTTTCTGAGTGAAACATCTAGTCCCCATACGTTGTGAGAACGTTGGGCACAGGCTGTGTCGTTTCGTGTGCTGCCAAGCCTCTTAAGGACAGTAAGCTTGTTTGCATGAACTGTATTAGCAATCTGGATGAATTCGCTGGATTTTTTTGGATAAGTACTACTTTGAATTCACTGTTATAAGTTGCGGTTGAGGGTAAGCTACTATTATTTTCTAAGGCTCAGCTTTTGGCCATTTGCACTTGTAGTTTAGCGCTGATACTCCAGAAGAGCTTATCAGTTTCAGCAGCTGACATTGGTCTTGAATGGACGCAATTTCGGTTGTTCATTTCACTCTACACGTTCACACTGATTGCATTATTTATCCGCTTCCACGACACAACTTTCTAGGCCAGCTTTCGAGGTAAGAGGCGAATGATTATCGAAGAAAAGTTTAGTTTATGGAAAAGCCCGCTGTCACTGTCAAATCGATCAGGCATAGTGTTGTCAAATGTTTATGTATGGCAAATGAGCAGGCATGCCGTGTGGAAAGGCTTACTTTGTTTCTTAATACTGCTCCATTAAATAATGTCTGAAATTTTATTTCTACGTTCTTTTCGATTGTACATTATTGTGTGTATTCGGAAACACGCAGTATGTAATGAAACCGTTAGGCACACCGCAGTATAGCTGACGTAATAACAATAATAATTTACGCGAATCTAACTGTATATTTACAAGATAAATGCTCTTGTGAAGACCAGCTTTTGGTGCAATCCTATTCCATATGTACAAATAACAAAGAAATCACAAGTATGCATGCATTGAAATCTGCGTGCTAAAAGAGTTAATTCATAAAAATGGCTTAGTCATATCCTGACGACGCCAAGGGCGTCAGTGGATGTTCAATGTCAGCAGACCGACTTCAAAGACATAGAATTCTAACTGCAGGACCTGAGATATATAGGGCAAACATCAGCCACATGTGACGATTAAAACAAACTATAATTACATTGTACACCAAGACAAGAAATGCCATTTATTCACCAATCACGTTAACGTCCAACATAACCCACCCCTTTACACCTTGGAACTGTTTACCAGGAAAACATCTAAAACAAGTTCTGTCTTCTGTGATCGAGTTCCACTTGTAATCTACATAACTTTGTTATACTCGCTTGACAATCTGCACAACATCCTCGTCACAAAGAACATGCTCTTTTCCCACCTTCTGCGGATTGTGCTTCACGCTTGAACCCCAGACAAGAGCGTATTTAAATTCCTTGATTAGCGTTCGGTGCACTTTGTTGCAAAAGTCTTCCACGGTCTGATGGTCACGTGCCAAAATGACGGGGGCTTCATAGTCAGGTAACTGCCCTTTAGGCTTTGTGTAACTGAAAAAGTAGGTTCGCATAGGTTATTACTGGACGGAACTGAGCACATGACTACGGTTACTTAACAATCAGTTAATTCCCGTCTAAGGATGACTTTACATTGTATGACCAAATTGTAGAAGGGGCAAGCCGTATAAACTCCTCCATCGTTATTATAACCAACCATATCGTAATTATTAAGTATTCAAATTCAATAAGCCAAATCTTGCCAGCCGAAATTTAAGTATTAGCGTATACTATAACGTTGTACAGTACTAAGATGACGTTTCCGCTAGCATACTGCCTGAAAGAAGTCCAAAGAAGTATTCAATGTGTTGTGCTGGTGGTCAAGTTAGCGAATTATAATATCGTACTGGGTTCATGAGTTAGCTTATGTACCGAAAATGGCTTCCAAACGAAGGGTTTCTGAACGGGAACGCCCAGTTTAATTAAATGACGTAGCGAAATAAAATAAATTTACATTCGAAGTAGTCGAAGGTATTCCCAGGCCTTTTCGAGGAGGTCATCGAAGTTCCACCGGTGATGTGCTGAGATCGGCACGCAGTGTGGCACCTTATAAATAATGTCGAGCTCTTCAATTGAGATTTGATCTATTTTATTAAGAACGTAAATGCAAGGAATGTAAATACGATTTCCTTCGATCACATCAATGAGGTCATCCTGGGTAGAATCGTATTTTAATACGACGTCCGCGTTATGAATCTTATACTCAGATAGGATCGCTTTCACTGTCTCCAAATCCAGTTCCGTCTGTGGTACAAGGCACTGCAGATTAATTCCGCCTAAATACAAGCCAATAAAACAAAATGACATGTAGTTAGCCTTAGGGACGTCTGAGGAAGTCGCCCCAACGGGTCTTTAAAAATTTAACATAAGTAAATATTATCGAATCATTTTATTGCCCTAAGAGAGGGTAGCTATTAAGACACTTATCATATCCTAACACTTCATGAAATTTTCATACTAAAAGAAATTCTTTAATTATTTTGTCCACGTGCGCATTGGCATAATCCTAATATATGCAACGTGAAGACTGATAAATCTAAATATGTCACTGACCTATGACTAGTACATTAATCAAGAAAGCATTTGGCCCGGACCAAGTTGATTAGGCTATGTATTGAAAGTCAGTTGTATGGGTCAGTGCGAACAGTGCACCGCGTTGGGAAAATTTCGGTCCTTGCCTACTGCTAACATAGCTATGTGAAGAGTTGCAGTAGGATTGCGCAGTGGCCTATTTAAGAATTTGTACAAAAACGTCTATAGGAGATAATACATGACTTGGAGGTATAGCTTTGTAAATCGCCGGACAAGAGAAGTGGAGCACGTGCTTTTGTAAAAAAGGTCGCAATTTTCTGTCAGACCAGCAAGAAATATGTCATCAATTATGCTACATACATTTAGGATAATTAGTTGATCCTTGGCTAGGACACGATTCGTTCTTATAACTTTGCGTATGAACGTACCTTTATCTTTTCTACGGAGGGTAATCTGTGGGGGTTCTTTATTCAGTCGGATACCGAACCCCTCCAACTCGTGTTCGATCATCCGTTTGTGTTGCAGAGGTTTGAGGACGTCAAGTACAATGAAAATCAGGGAACAGGTTCGAGCTACTGCAATCACCTGCCGACCACGACCCTTTCCGTCTTTCGCTCCTTCAATAATACCCGGAAGATCTAACAATTGAATCTTGGCACCCTGACAAGGCACACACACACATGCTTACTATAACAATATACAAAGTCGAATTAACCCAACGGCTACGAGCTGAATTCGTTAGCTTAGTGCTAAATTTACTTTCATCGAATCGGCACGACGCTACATCGGTTAATCAGACATCAAACTTTTAACATACGGTAAATACATATAGCATAGAACAGACCGTTTAAACTTCTAGCATACAGTCATCTCTTCACGTAATAATTAAAACTAAAGGTTACAATTAAATTTGAGGCTGAAACTGCTCGGAACTGTTGAAACCTCCACATACAATGTTAAAGTATAACATCTGGCATTTTTAAATACTAAAAAGATGTTAATGTTATTCGTGTAAAAGCATATAAATAGTTTAGCTTCTGGGCACAGTGTAAATACGGCATCTATATGAAAATTCCTATTTATCCTGACATTTTACATGAGTGCGTATTTTAGACTGTTTTTTGGTTTCGTATTCGCTCTCGGAGAATTGCGTTGCTTTTACCTTATATTTTATAACACCAGGTACAGTTGTAAGGGTTGTAAACTCGTAGGCGGCCACTTCAGAGAACACTCCTGCCAATGTGTTCATCAGTGTTGATTTTCCTACCGATGGAAACCCTATGAAGCCAATCCGAGCGTCGCCAGTTTTCGCTACATCAAACCCCTCTCCAGGACCTAATCAACGTCAATGGAAAATCTTAAATTCGATAAGGTTCCAGTGATAGAAAATATGATACACGAATAATACGCAGTGATTTACAGATGTGATGCGGCTAGCATCAAAGTATTTGCTATTGACGTCTCTTTACTGGTGAACACGCGATATACAACTAGCAATCACCAATCATCTGTCGATAATACCAACGGTGCCTGCCTTTTCTATATCAAAAATATAAGGACTTTTTACATGGATGGACAAGAAAACGATAAAGCTCCATAGTTTTTATCCATTCAAGTTCTTCGAAGCAAAGCACAAGCAGAACGCGTCGACAATTTCTTATTTTGCCTCCTCTAAAGGATTGTCTGAAGACAAGGCATGCATAAAATTTGTATCGAGTCGTTACAAGTCAAGATGATAGAGTCAGGAAACCTACCACCTCCACCGCTTTTTGGAGTGATTAAGTCCCGGCGAAGTTTAGCGAGTTTAGCTTTAAGGAGTCCAAGATGGCCCATTGTAGCTTTGTTTCGTTGAGTTCTTGCCATCTGAAAAAATTTTCATGACAGACACGTTATGGTCTCCGTTCATTCAACGTGGGTTGAATTGCTCGAAAATGTACGACAAATAACACAAAATTACTTATCTATCTGGTCGTTTCTGCGAGCCATATGGTGGCTGATGATTTTTTATATTTACCCCTTACCGGAGGCCCGAGTGCCGACAGTGGACATTTGCAGCGTTAATAATTTACCGCAATGGGCAGCTTTGAACCAATGCTGGTGGTGATGAATATGTTTTCAATAATTGCAATAAAATACGTCATATGTACCTAATGTATACCTAACATTACAGACAATGCACAAATAACAAATCACTAAGATAGAATAACTTGACAAAGAAGAGTACGTTTCTATAGCGATAATGCAAGAATCCTTGTATATCAGAATTGGAAGTGTCTGATAAACTCGATCAAGCACACATCTGAAAGCAGCTCGATCAAAGTGTAGATTTATAAAATTGGGAGTATGTCAATGAAAATAGTACACAATTCTTCATATTTGAGAATGTAAAGCATTCATTCCACGAAACCAAACAAAAAATGTTGATTTTAAATTGCACTGGACACATCATTAATTTTCTTTTAAACTTGTGAGTCTAAGTATCTTTTTTTTGTAGTTATGATAAACGTTTTAAGTATATTGAGTGTGTAATTTTTTGTTTATTCCTTCTTGTAAAGCGAGCGATAGTTGTCAAAGGCTGCTGAAACAGCGAGCAGGCATTTCACTCTGAGCTATCTATCGTTTTCCAGAAGCTAATAACTTGTCATTTCCTAATAGGTCCCCTCTGCATGCTATCATACAGACAACGTCTAATTCATTGCGATTTATTTGTCTGGAGAAAAAGCTGATATGTGCTAACATGTCAGTGTTCGAATTAGTGCAAAACTAGCTAAAAATAAATACATACATAGAGAAATACACACATAACCAACATATTTAACTTCTCGATCTAAAAATAGAATAAAGGAACATTAATTTACTTCGAATGGATAGTTCTTTTTTCCAAGAAACATGATTGTTCCGGGTAACAATCAGGGAAAACACTCTTTACTCACCTCGGCCTCAATTTGGGCGATCTTTTCTAGTGTCGACATTGTGCTTTAACTACTAGCCCGACAGAACAAAGATTTTTATTATAATATGAAAAAAAAAACGTATATCCAAGTAATCACAGTTTCATGCAATCCACTGGAAAGCACGTTGCCTGATGAATGCGGCACGAACGAGTTGACTTCCATTTCGCCTGCGTTCCGTCATTTAGCGAAAACCACAACTCAGCTTTTTAGAGACTGGATTTTGCAGATTTTCAGCTAGTGTAAAAGTTCGATTTGACCAAATGCAGCAGCCTCCAAAATGTCAAAATTGCAGAAAGTATTCTCCAAATCAAGATTTATTTTGTGGTATTTCACCAGGTTCTTATGAAGCATCTCAATCATCTACCCAATTTCTATAAGTTGTGTACAATATTTTTTGCGCGATTCGTGCTACAAACTCAAAGAGAGCACGAGGTTTTCACCGCTTTTACCGTTTCAGCCGCAGGTTCCCCGCCTCATAAGCATTAGCATCAATAGGTCGTTTAAAGGGGTTGTACCAACTTCAGACAAACGAAAAGGCTTACTGGCATTTCTTTAGCATTAAGGACTATAGTGAGCGCGCCACTCTGACGATTTGCCACCCGCCGCCAACTTTACCCCCCGCCACCCCCATCATCACTGAATGCCCTATAAACAAAATCCTTCCCGCAGACCCGTATCATAACTGAGCACGGTCATTCATACTGTCGCAGAGTAATAATTAGAAGCAGATTTACGTTTAATGTTAATTCTTTTACCGGCAGAGAGCACTGCGGCAAAAGCACGCGCCGCCGCTCTTCGTCATCACTATCGCCGCTGATAACGATGATGTTTCGGCGGCAGCAGCAGCAGCCATCAATGTAGACTAGTTGTTGTCGTTTGCTACGACTGACTGGGAAGGTTCCCTAGCCATGGTGTGGTTCACTCATGGATGTTGGTGCTATTGGAAGCAGGTATAGCTGTGCCGTTGCCGTCGCTGTTATCGGCTTCAACTATTGCGGTAATCGCTGCCGTTGATCTGCGCTGCTGCGTGTATCGACCGCCCGCCCACCCGTCCGTTCGACTGGCTGGTGTTTCGGGTTTTATGTCTGCTACTGCGTTACTTCACACGGCTGACTTCTAGCACGGAGCCGAGTGCGTCTACGGCTGGTTTCGAACCTAGGCCATCTCACGTGCCCCTGAAATCGCAGGTAAACGGGTTACTCCTGCGCAATCATGGGAACCGGTCGAACGGTGTCGACCTGCTAACTGCCGTCGTGCTTCTTCGCTGCTGCTTTCTACAAGGAGAAGGAAGCACATTTGGCGACCCCGGCAGCAGTCAACGAGCAGCAGCAGTAGTAGGGATTTGAATAGTGTGCGGTGCGCATGAGTGCGAAAGAGTCAGAAATGGTACAGTCGCAGCGTTGGCTAAACAACTGCATTCGTAACAACGGTTGATCGACGACAGCGGCAACCGTGCAGCTCGTGCTCCGCTGATATTGGTCATGTTAGCGATGTCGATAATGGCAGTAGAGTTAATGCACTGTAGTGTTTGTTGCTGGTAATATTGATAGTAATAACAATAGAAGTGACGGTGATGTAATGGCATGGTTTACCTGGGGACGTCTTCAATAGGCGGCGACTTAACGTGAACCAACAACCTCCGTTGCGTTCGACAAGCAAAAATTAAAAAAACCAAATCTCGAATCAACCTTGTGCTGACAGTACCTATTTGAGCCTTACACGAAAGAGGAAATATATTCAAGAAAAACAGGCTGCCGGACGTACAGAAAGGGAACCATAAAGCAAAAACTCTCCGGAATACCTAAACTGGAATACCTAAACTTCGAGCCTATCTTTTCTCAACGTACAATACTTGCTCCTTTCGTACGATCCCGTTTTTCCACGACCCTGTCATCTACACAGAATGCCTCAATAACCAAGGGTACTTAAATAAGCGTCGGTTCTGCCCTCTGAAAAACCAATTACATGCTAACATTCATCTCATGAGCCTGTTTCAGTGCTCAGCTGACGCTAATCCTGTATGCAAAACATAGAGATACCGAAGAAGTAGTGAAACGAACTTTGGCAACAGGGTAAGCCTGAACAAAACAAAGTGAAGACGGACTGCTGAGCCTGTGCAAGACAAGTTCATAGTTTATAGGGACAAAGTACATATAGAACGTTATAAAGAACATCAGAACGCTGATCATCTGAGATCATTCGTCTTTTATCTGCTGAACGGAATCGATCTATCTACACAACAATGGATAGTTTTAGCATAAGAAACCTGAAGGGATTTGCGTCGGACGCGGCCACCGCGCTCACCCGAGCTGTCCAGGTATGCGATCGTTGTGTAACCGGTAACCAGTTTGTCTGTCAGTGAAATAGCAAATGGATATAGAAGTAGTTATTACTGTTTTTCCGACAATATAGGGTGCGCGTAGGACGGTGCATGAACGGGACAGTCTGGCAAGTTCGTAGAAAAGCAAAAGACGCTACGACAACAACCGGGTTAGGCAACTCAGCTTTCTTCGAAACAACAAACCTAGTACGCCTTTGTTGGAAACTGCCGTATAGCCGAAATATATACATACAATTCTTTGAATGCCTTAGAGAACAAATGCATGAGAACTTTGGCGCCTTCACTTTTCTACGTGTGATTTCTCCTTGCTAGCTAAAAGACCGTTTGTTAGCTTTTGGCAAATAAGATAACATTCTGCATATATTATACGCCTTACTAGTAAACTGTGCGATATCAAATCGAACGGGGAACCGTATCGCGTAACGTAACAACGAACGGCTTTTAGGCTATTGTCCGTTTCGTTGACACGCGCTATGTTGACTAGAATATGTTAGATAAAGAAGGTAATTCGTATCGGTGGTTCTAGTGAGCCGAATGTCGACATTTGTTTCATGTTTGCATGCCGCTCCCTACGCGATGATGATGAGAGTAAAAATTACATAGTTCTATTTCATTTCATGTTTATCTCGTAGACTCGCATTGTTCAGATCCATTCGCGTCTCTATCTCTGTTTTCTTTTACCTATTTAGCTAACTAGGCTTTTGAGTTGTTAGGACGTTCACATGTAGGGTCACATCAGGCCTTTAATTTTATTACACAAACCTGACATCAGCTTATTTTTTTTAAGGTATCCCATGACGGAGTATAGTTTTCGACTAGGGTTCCTATTTTCTAGATTAACTGTCGTTGCTGGCTTTCGATAGATAAAGAAATATTTGTGTTTTGAACAGGCAATAAAGAACAACTACTGGAAAAAAAACAGGATTTTCTTGATAACTGATTTGTTTAAACGACTGTTTCAATTTATAACCAGTTCCCCTAGGTACGGTTATAAATTGAAACAGTCGTTCAAACAAATCAATTATCAAGAAGATCTTGTTTCTTTTTCCAGTAATTGTTCTACATTGCCTATTTAACACACAGGTACTTCTAGAGAATAAGTTTTGTCTTCGCACTATCGTTAACAATAATATAATACTTGAAGAGTCTGCTTTTGTTTTCGAAGAGCCAGCTAGAACATTGTCATTGTAGTGCTCCTTAAAGGACTGCTTTTTTAGATCTTCATTGACTATAGTTATTTTAACAGCTGCTTTAAACATTTTTTAGCTTTGCTAATAATAGTCTCTCCAATGGTCACTAAGGCCTTGTTTTTCAGGGATTTCTTAGCAGGCGTATATTTAAGGGGGCTCAAGCAGCCAGCTTTGTATGTGCCTACTTTTGAAGCCTGTGCCTGGTTGACAGACTTCGACGACAGGCAGCAATATGCAAACAAAATAGCAAGACGCCTCCATAAGCCACACTAAGACATTTCGAGTGTTAGACTGACGTCCAGAATTCGTGGTATAATTAAGCCAAAATGAATCTCTCTTTAATTGCATTTCCATTTAATGTCGTCAGTTGCGTTTTTCTTTTCTAAAGAGCCACGTTTCAATAGCCTACTGCGGTATAATCTGGTTTTATCTTATATAGTTGTCGTTAAGTATGCGCCGTTCATTATAATCTTGAATGATATTTCCGGATGCGTCGGCAGGTAAACAGAAAACACAACATCTTGTACGCGATGCTATGGCCTGGAGTTTAACAACGATACTGTAGTTAGCTTTGTTAGATGTTTGAAACCTGATTTTCTTATGTTGGCATAGCGCGATAAAGTTCGTTGTAGTTTTGTTGAGGTTTTCTACAAGTTGGGTAGTAGGCACGCCTCATAATCATATACAAATACAATGGTACGTTCGTCTATACAAATTTGCATTTGGAATTTTACCTATCTTTTGATGGCCGAGACTCTTGCAACCAAGACAGTATTACGTCATCGTACTTGGAGTAGTTATCTATTATTGGAAGAGAAAATACAAATATTAACTGTGTTTTAACAAGTTCTGTGAAGTGAGATGCGCGCCTTAAGGCGCTTGTATCGACACTATAATTTATAATCGCGTAGTAGGTACCATTAATTGCTGTTTTACATATTGAACTCTTTGAGCAAAAGAGAGCACGTCTACTCCCGGTTTCAATCCTACTATTATATAATAGGCTATTATGACTATTATATTACAACAGATTAGTTTACTAGACATCTTGGTAGGCATTTTGTTTTCCTGTTGCTATGCTAGGTATATAAACTAGTGCTGGTTCACGTATAAGATTTTCATAGTCTCCATTTGAATCCGTATAAGACGCGCTGTTTTTAAGAGAAACCATGACGCTTGAAGGAAACAGAGGTCTCCTATTCATCACGACTGATCGGATCCGAATAGTCTGACAAAACGGTCTATCTAGCCCATTCAGTTCCTTCTTCATACACTTCATATGCTCTTCTGTCGTATTTAAAATAAATGTTATCTAAACTAATGTAATCACGCTATAGTTATTTTGTTCTTTATTGGCTCCTTTGCAATTTTCGCTGGCGGTGCATTAGAAATTTGGTTACAGTAGATATTATTAACGCAGGCGAAGGCCACTGTTTTGCAATTAACGCATTTAGAGCTCTGTTTTCACTCAACGATATTCTGCACAATGGAAAAACCAAGACCCAAAAGGCTAATAACTAAAGTTAATAGAAAAGTTGATGTACCTTAATTAAATTAAAAATAAAACCTATAATTAAGAAAAATGCAACGCCTTTATGAGCGATATCGACTTGTTTTCCCTCAGATATCTATTGCTATGATTATTCGATCGAGACGAGGTGCATATCTACAATACACGCGTTATGGGCCCACGAAGGTGCCGTCCACTTAGCATCCATTGTAGTTGGACTGATCTTGCCTACTAGCCTTATATATCCACCTGAAAAGCTGCAAGTTGTTGTCTATTTAATGAACTAAATTTTGTGAACGCTTCGGCCGCGACAGAAGCGGGTATCGACCGATGCCCCCTGCCGCGGTGGTTGACGATGTATTAAACCGCCATCACGTCAAGGAAGACAAGCGTGTTTTTCTAAGTGTCGCCGGAGTGCATCATCATTGCGAGATGCACCGATGCTTTGGCTGTTGTCGTGATGTTTTAGATGTTGTAGAGTGTGAAAGTCGTAACCTATTGGTTATCGTGAGCTTTCTTAGGTTAGGTTTGTTGGTGGTGGTTGCATAGGGATGAAAGTTTGTTACTGTGTGACGTACAATGATCTGGTAGTGTCATGAAAGAGACAATATGAAGTAGCAACTCGTTGGCAAAACCCTCTATGTTTTTTTGGAAGAAACGCCAAGCCCTCAGCTCATGGGAGTAATGCTACTAAGCGAAACACATTCCGAGTAGGTGTGAATAATAATGGTAAAATAGGCCGAACAGGTTTCAAGTAGGCAAGTTTCTCAACACCGCTTTATCTTGAAAACAATGGGGCGTTGTAAAGGCTAAAGTTATTGATTGTGAAGTATTTTTTGTTCGCGATTTATCACATTCGACCGTTCTCAACGAAAACGAGTCTCGTCCATGGAAAATGGTTTACGAAAAGCAGACGTTCGCGTACGCTGGACAAAAGCCATCGAAAAGTGCCGAAAGTAATCCGTAGTGCTTACTTGCTAATAAAACGCGCTTACTCCCGCTTGTAGACCTATATATATAGAAGAACTATCTTTTATATTATATAGAAAGCATTTGGAGACCTAGGCGTCTTGAAACGATGATGATACTAACAATAATCTGATTTTGTTCTTTAGAGTAATTCCTTTTTTCTTTCAAATTAAATACGCCGGTGACTGCAGTAATTTTGCAGACAGGATTTCGCGCCACTACATCCCACCGAGCAGTTTGCCTACGTTACTAGCCCTCGGCGTCCCGTTCTGGCCGACAGACTAATTAATCAAGCTGCTTTCAACGCTTTAAGAATCTTTTGATTGCGGGAAACATGGGAGAAATATTTTCGTTGAATTCGGCCTGTTGTGGATGAGGATAGAGCAATCGGCGGACACGAACGCGGAGATTTGATATTAACGTCTGTCTGAAATGTCTCAATCAAAATGATAGAATAGGTTTACTTTTGTAAACTTTTTTTCCCTACGTAATTACTTCTATCTAAAATATTGTCTGTGTTAAACCGTTTATGAATTTCACACGGAAAGTTCTACTGCTAGTAGCATTTGTATGTATGCTGTGGAACTCAATGACGCCGCTGTGCCAGAACGAATTTCTGATTTAAAATAGAATGCAAATGAATGCATTGGATAATTATATTTAGACATATATTTCGTCCAGATACGTATTACAAACTGTGCAAAATAGCTTAAACTAAAAGAGTATTTGGCTGACAGCAATACTTGTATATGTGTCGTTTCGAAACGACATAGATATCTATAGAATATTATTTTTAAACATTCATTTGTTGATATCAAACATTGTTTAGTTGTCAATTAAATATATCAAAAAATTGTCAATTAATAAACTCTAAACTGTTTGTAATTAACAAGTGAGCACATGTTGCAAATTGGAAAACGTTTAATTAATTCCGAGTTTTTATACGCCAACATCTGCTTCTCGTACGTAATTTGGCTGACGTGATTTGATTACAGCGTAAGCGTACCAATCAGAGATCTGTACACATTATTCTAAAGCATGTTTACGTTAATAATAACTACAAAATGTTTCTTTTTCTAATTATTCTACCCAAGTTTACAGTTTTACGAAATTTTCCCTAAATTTTTCAACCGCATTTTTACACAGGCGTGCTTAGATTTGACCCTACAGCCAGTGATGCTTGGAGAACCATCATTATAGTTCTAGGCGCAGTTCTATTACATATATATAACATGTAATCTTATTAATTATACCTGCCTTTGTTAAGAAGAATTAACGTCGTAACTTTTATTAACTTCAACATATTTATCATATTCTACTCCAGCTTAGGTTGCTGTAGCAACAGTCGCGAGGGCAACATTATCCGAGAAGTTGACTGGTCGATATCTATATGTTTACAGTACACGGAAGAACGGCTGGGCACGGCAGGCCGCACGGAGTTAGATGCGCATTTTGAAAGTCTCGCACAGAGAGCTGATGACACCAAACTCTGGACTGAAAGACTGCTCTCTAAAGCAGAGGCAGTCCTTGAGCCCAACCCGAACGTTCGCGTTGAAGATTACCTGTTCGACAAGGTCAGTTTAGCTTAATCGTTGTTGTTTTATTGTAAATCGTTAATTAGCGTGCCGTGACATTTTTACATATATATCTTGCAAACAGGTAAGATCGCAAGATACGTTCCCATTGCCTTTTCATGCAATATTTGCTTCTACAGAAAATAGCTATTTTTGTCCTCTGAAACTTGAGTGGTCTTTTTTAAGATTCGTATTATTAATCGATAGGAGACAATGTTGTTCACGGTTATTAGGGAGGACAAGTACTTTCTAATATTTTCCTGTTTGATTTCCTCAGTTGGAAAAGAAACGTGAGCGCCCAAACAACCTCGAGGCGCTTGGACAGGATATGGTTAATGCTGGAGGCGCATTTGGTGCTGGCACACCATACGGTAATGGAAGTGAAACGATGATTTATTCTAAATATGATAATATCCAGTCGTTGAGAGTAGCTAAGTTTAAGGGTTATATCGCTAAAAAAGGGAATGAACTGTGAATAAGGAAAGTTATTATCATATCTAATGCTTCTTTGGTACATGGCAAACGGTTCCTTGAGTATAAAAGTATAATAAGACATTGTTTTGTGGGAATACGTTGACTGATACTACTCTGCCACCGCGCGACCTCGCTCTGCGCTTTGTATATCTGAGGTTTTCAATAAATAGCCTGTAATTCTCATTATGTCTGTTTCGCAGGTAGCGCCTTGATAAAGGTCGGGCAAGCGGAGAAGAATCTGGGTGGAGCGGAACGAGATTTTGGTAGAAGTGTACACACTCACTTTTTACAGCCTCTCAGGAGGTTCTTAGAAGGAGACATGAAGACTATCATTGTGGGTGTCTTCATTTGATCATATCTTTATTTAACAAGCGTAGAAAGGATTTGGTCAAAAAATACCCTGGTTTCCTATTTGAGTGGAAATTCTCGTGGCGCTTTTTATAGATAAGCATCAATCGTCGTAATTTTTGTAAACATTACCGAGAACTATTTGATTAACAGAAAAATAAGCGACCATAAACTCTACCAGTTGTTAACAGTGACTACACCTAGCATAATGGTAGTTTTTTTAACGTATTTACTTTCTCGTTTCCTAGATTCGAACTTATTAGTCAATACCGGTGAAATGTCGTTTTAATTGCTTTTTGATCATTGGGCATTGCGCTTCAGAAAGAGCGACGTATCCTGGAGAACAAACGGTTAGACCTTGATGCCGCCAAGAATCGACTCCGCAAAGCTCGATCTGCAGACCCACAGGTATCTGTAAACTACAGTATCGAACAGAAAATGATAATGCGATCTCTGTATGCTCACTATTACATATAAGGAGCTAGTAAGTTTCTGATAGGTGCAGGATAATTCGACTAATGATGATTCAGTCAAGATTTGGAAACAATTTGTCCGGACCTTAATTTATTTCAAAGACTATCTGATAAAGGTTATAGGGCGAACCCAAATTTAAGACACAGTATTGGAATTACCGCCATAACGACGATATTGACTATAGATAAATAGGTGTGTTCTAAACGATGTGATTAGGTAACGCTTTCGAATTCGATAAATTTTATCGCACTAGATACAATGTCTAACTGGCTGTTTCCTAATATATGCCCCCAAGGCGAACGCCCAACAGATAGAAAAGGAAATCTATCAGGTTAGCAATTTATACAATTAAAATACACTTAATATTCCTTTTGTTGACACAGTTGCAGTTGGAATTGTTTTGTCAGCAGCTGTTTCTGGTAGTATTTGTCAGTGGGTGGGGCATTGTAGATGCATGCTGCTAAGCCTGATGCACCGATTTTCGTTACCATTTTGAGTCACACGTTTTTTTTTGTAACTTGACTACTCAAGCCAACTCTGCAATTCTTATTTTGTCCAATAGCGAACGTGTAGCGAGATGTAAAGCTAGCCTATCACCGATAGCGGTAACACATACACGGTATATGTATGGCATAGTGAGATGAAACAAGGCAAGATGGGAGTTGTTTGCTGTTGGCTATCTCAACTTTCTTATCGAGGCCGAATTTATCAATTTTTATCAAAAATATGATCGATTGTCGTCAACTAACAGGAGTGATCATTTCACATTTTCCATTTATATCGGCTTAGGACTCAGTTTAGGACTGCTTCCTTTCCAATTTTACCGTAAAAAGAACGCTTTGCTAAACAGAAAGCTTTAACAGCTCATAAACGAAGGTATCAGTCGAGGCGGGATATGTAAAGATGAATTCATGTATCATCTATTTTTTTCGTGTCCATGTGTTTTGTGCCTTCTGTCACATTTCAGTACGAGTATGTGAGTTCGTTTTTGTTGACGCAAAGCATGTGGGCATTAATACTTATAGCCGATTTTATTTATCGTGTTACGGAAAAATCACCGCTTGCGTTTAAACCTTTTTTTAAACATTTGTAGTAGTGGCGGTTTTTCTTTCTCTATTTCTTGACTCGTACTTCAACGTCTTAGTTGTCGAAAATTAGCGCTGGCGGAAAGCAAGAGCTGACAATACTGTGCGACGATATTTTTAGGCGGAGAAAGAAGTGGAGCTGTGTCAAGCCGAATTCGACAAACAGGCCGAGATAACTCGTCTGCTACTCGAAGGGATCTCTACTACTCATGTAAGTGTCGTATGGTAGAGAGTATTGTTAAATTAGATGTGTTACTATTGACACCACAATCAAACAATTCCATAATTCTACCTGCAATATTTAGCTTGTTCGTTCCTACCATCGCTTCTTTGTCTACTTTTATTTCACTTTTCTGTTGATTAAGGCGAATCATGTACGGTGTTTAAGCGATTTCGTCGAAGCCCAGATGGCGCTGTACGCTCAGTGTCAACGACATATGCTGGACCTGCAGAGAGAGCTGCGCGCACTTAACATGAACGTGGGTTGTGGAGGGGTGAATGGGGAACAGGCGGAGGCAGGCGGCCGTGTATGCGCTTTCCAGAACGTGTTCGAGGGGCAGTCGGGTCAAGCAGGGCAAATGGGCACGCATGGCAGTGGCCAGGGGCCATTGCGCAGCACTACAGGAACTGAGAGATCCAACAACAACTCGAGCTACCGTAAGGCCAAGGTGTTGTACGCATACGAGGCGCTCGCAGGCACAGAACTTACCGTGAAACAAAACGAGGTAGGACTTTTATTTACTGAGATGATAACCGTGGATGGTTCTTTTTCTGCAGTTGGCATTAATTTTGCATTGTCTATTTTATTAGGACATTAGTGCGGCCGTCCAAACACGATTTTTTTGTTTCGAGTTTCTGGCAGCCAGAAATATATATTTTTAATAGATGGTGATAGTACTATACATTTATAATATTTGATATATCATATGACACAATGAAGTACATTTTTAAAAAGAGTCCTAGGACCTGCAGACTAAAACTGCGTATATGGATAAGGATACACAGAATAACTGTAAAAGAAAGTGAGCAATACGTTGCAGCATCATTCAGATTGGTTTGTGCTTAGACAAGAGGCATATAGACTAGACTAGGACGCTGGGCACCACAGACGGGGAAGTGAATGCGATTGATACCAAAAGACCCCATAAACTAATCGAAGAAACACACCTGTTATAACAACAACAATAGACTTTTTTTTAATAATATTTAATAATAAGCTTTAATATTTATTTAGTAATAATAATATATGATTATCACTGCTGTGTCTATAGGTATTGGATGTGATCGACGGCCCAGCTGATCTCGACCCTGACTTCGTGGTGGTCCGCCGAGTGGGCAGCAGAGAATGGGGCAAGGTTCCTCTGGCTTATCTTGAGATTCTTGATGACAGAATCAATGAAAAGACTACAGCATAAGACGCCAGCAAATAACAGCCGTCAGAACGATTGCTGACCAATATGTAGGAGACAAACACAGATGCACGTGTCCTTCTTTAATAGGTAGCAGTACCAACCACGCCGCCGCAGGACAAAGTGGGATAATGCGCATAAAAACCAATCAGAAACATTCGTGGCGCTGTTAGAAAAATGTTGTATCGCGGGCGACAGTCAGGTTCAGTTAACAAGCTAAGTTAGCTATCTCTAACATGCTGAGCTATCTCTATCTGGTGGCTGAAACAATACAAAAGACTTACACTACTACTAGCATTATGAAAAGAAGCTCGAGCATGATCGGAGGTAGAATCCGTTATGTGACGGGCATTTTAGCAGCCACAGTGCCGAAAGCCAGCTGATTTCAAGCACACCGCCATATGTCAAATGTAAATCTTTCCACCGACTTATCAAGCGCGCGTCCAAGCTCTATAGTTTACGTATGCTACTTCGTTGTTCTGTTCGACTTGATATGTCTGGCCAGCCAGCTGTGTCTCGACTTCGGACAACTTCGAAACAACAACAACGAATCATGTAAAGCGTTTAGCGTTTTACATATTGAGGATCGATTATCAACGTAAATAGAACAGAGTACACCATCTACGCTGCTGTGAAACCGAGCACGAAACATCGAAGTGACAAATCGACCAAGCAGTCCGGTCTAAAAGTCAATGGATGGAAGAAATGCTCGGTCAGTTTCCAGCCCCCCGTATCTTAACCGCCGATAACGTCGAGGCCATAGTGCCTTTAGAAAAAAAAGTCATACAGCGATAAAAGGAAACGAGTTAAGTTGTTCTGGCTATCGATAATCTGTGGCCGTCAATTGCACGCAGATAGAAACAGAAGATAAACATACGTAGATACACGCACAGACGCCACTATTCAATGTATTCGACAACTCTAATCACGCCGTCACTGGTAGAGTTAGATACGAGCTTGACTTGAACCTGACCGATACATATGACGCAACAGAGAAAACCTAACTGACAACTAGACAACGGCGACCACAGCAGCGGACAGAGGTTCGTATAAGCGGATTTTATGTTGCTACTGCCTACGACTGAAAACAACCATTTGGAAGAAAAAGATAACCATGCGCGCTTAGTGGTCGTGCGATATATCTGTAGAGAAAAAAGTGTATCGAGCTGAAGCAGAGCGCAAGACAGGGAGCAGCAGGGCGCGTTTTCACTCCGTGCAATATACAACGTATACACAAGCATATATTTATCTCTCACGTATACCTATTTATCCATGTAGTATCTAGTATGAAACTGACTACGGAATCGAAGAACGAGGAAAGGAGGACTAGCGCCTAACAGAGGGTCAGCATTTTGGCAGTTTTTCCTCTCTTCCTTTATATACGTTTCTGCAGACCCTTCTTTCCTCCAGCTCAGACAGAGTGAACAATCAATGCTGGTTAGCGAGAACCCAGTCAATCATTTAAACAGCACTAGACAGATAGTAGCAATCATTACCAGCTGAACGACTCGATTCACGGTCTCAGTCTACAACACAGTCTAGCAGTCATGGTCAAGTGGATTGAAGTGAAGGTGCAGGTCACGATTGTGCTACATCGATTGCATCCTTCGTGGGAGAGGAGCGATGTATGACAGTAAATTATGGTTTTTATTATTGTCTGTGCGCTCCGCTGTCGTTGTTTGCTCAGCGCTCGTGTCCAACTGCACGAGGTCCTGTGAAGAAGGCCCCTATCGATCCTAGGTCACGCCCGCCAATCAGTCATAATATTACCATGGTTAATAATGTTACTACTGTAGGATATGGATGTATGAAGATGATTGTTCATGGCAACACACGATGATGAGGATGATTGGTAAAGCACAAATTAACGTTCACTTGATATTGTAAGTCGTATCTTCAGTACTAATATTAATAGCATTGACGTAATTCGACGAGGTCGTAAAACGGCGATGCGATAATGCAAAATATGGTATCAGTCGTAGCTCGCAGCGACAAAAAACAATTCATGAAAAAACAAGTTAAACAAAGCTGTATATTGAGCAGCAATATTGAAACATCTGAGCAGAATTCCTTAGTCACGTCTCCTTCTGATAATTTTCTTTGATTTTTTTGTTTATCTATTACTTTCGTTATTCTCGTCGTTTGGCCATCTTTTTTCGGATTTATAAGGAAAAAGCATGCCTAGCAGATAATGGCTCGTTTTATGCGTAACGCTATCTTAATATCTCGTACGTACTTGCATACGCTGCCGTTGTAGCTCTCGTGATGTGGATTTGATTAACAAAACTGAAATGTACACAGTCCATCACCAGCGTTCAAGTAATGCTCACGTTATTTTCTTATGGTGAGATAAGGTTTATTTTGCTTTTCCAGTACTCCACTTCGTCCGGCAGTTTTCAATAGGTGAAAGTGTTGATCAGCCTGCGACCCTAAATGCGGCATGGAATTCACCATTATAGTTTCCTATTCGACTGTAATTAGGACACTGACCAATCTCGAGTGACCGGCGTTTTACTGGTTACCTGAGCAGATCACTTTCTCATGATTCCAAGTGAACGGCGAGAGCTACAATCAATAATCGAACGTGATATTTTGTAATCAGTCGGATTTAATAAAATAATATATATTTTTTACGGGGCTTGTGCTGAACATTATTTCTAGGTTTTTTTTTTTGCTATTCCGGAGTGACAGCTCCATACACGCTGTTTTCTATAACAAAATTAGGTGGTAATTTAATGGGACCTTGATCCTAGTACAATGTTTACAATAATGGATTATTAAAATTGCGCTTGATATCAAGTGTAGTACATTGGCAGGCAGAAAGATAAAGTAGTCACAACAATTTTCCAATCCCATCTCCCTATCTTGAGTGATGTAAGCGATCTCGTGAGCTCATACGAGAAATCTTAACCAGCAGCACATAACGCGCTCGAGATCGAAAGAGCATGAGGACCGTCGTTAGCAACCTTAGGTCGGTTTTCATTCTTATATGGATCGCCCTAGTGATACAAATACACCAAGCATAACACAACCCTTAAGTATCTATGAAAATGAATTTCGTAAGCGAAAGGCTTCACAGCCATGTTTTGGGCTCTGGCCTTTTGGCGACTTGGACAAGCAATCACTGTATGTCACGCCGTTCCAGAAGGTTTACTCTAGCAACAATAAAGCGTCTTCATAAACGTACGACATTGTAAATCCTATATATTTCCATTGTGAAGCTTTACAGAATACCTAAGCGTTGTTCTTTCATTATACCACTAGACCATTATGCGTTCTGTATTAAGTAAAGTATTTTTATCTCTACGAATTCGTTTAGATATATTCACATGTATACTACATTCTGTTTAATTACAGGAGGTAAGAATGTCTAGGTTGGCCTTGTGCAAAAGAGTTATTTAGTCAGTGATACGTTTCGATGTGGTAATAATGAATGGTCCGATCCAGAAGTGCGGAAGCCGTTCATTGGCAAGTAGTTAGGTTTTACCAATGTCGGTTGGTGGAGGTTCAGGATTTTTTTGGACGAATAGGATATAAGCTGAGGGACGAATGGTCCAATTTCTTTATCTACTATAATATACAATACGTATGATTCTGAGACGCGTCTTGCTTTCCGCTAGGCACAAAATCATCTTTTAAATAGGACTAGCGACTTTTGATGGCTATCTAAAGCGGAGATAAATATATATATAGAGAGAGAGATCATAGAAACCGCATAACAGAATGGCAGTTCACTTCCATCTCGCGGAGAGGCATGGTAACCAAGCTCTAATTGTAACCAGCCAAATACTATCCGTGCAGGCATAGATGCACGTGGTATGTAGAGTTAGTCACGCTGATGCTAAAACGCAATCCTTCTTATTACAGAAACATTGAAAAAGAACGATATCATTAGCGGGCACTAATACGGGTAGTTTCGGATTTTCTGCTCTGCCATGCGATATGTAAGGTACTTTCTTTTAAATCTGAACATCCCTACGAGACGATAGGAGTGGTTAAATTAGATCTTCGTGAGACCAACGACGAAAAGGGAAATCATACTATGGAAACGGCCTAAAATAATGGTGCTACACGGATAGTGCCTAGAATCCATTTCGATGTCAATCATAGCAATGAGGAAACGTATCTCGCTAGGTCGATCCAATGACACATTGAGCTATAAACAATATGATGGACAAGTACATGTGGAAATTAGTTTGTTCTCATCTGTATACAGTATCGTAGATAATGTTATTTTAGTAAGTAAACTTATTCTTCGCAGCAGTTTTTGTTTTTATTAAGATTGAAAATAACAGTGGTAGGGACGAATTATGGACGAAACTGTTGGGCTATGTTGCATGTAGTTGATAAATTTTGCGTGATTTAACTAACTTCGCTATAGCTGCGCTTTACTATAAACCATATCTTTCATGTGTGCTTTTTGTCGAAATATGGCTTATTGATCGATCTCTTGTGGTGTGATGATGTGATCAAAAAAAAAAACAAGCAAGACTAGCAGCGCCGAACTGAGAGGTAGAACTGTTAGACCCTCTAAAGGTACTCTTCAGACTTGTTTGGAGGATTGTTATCGTCAGTGTCTTATGCGTCTAGTGAAGGCAGGGTAACTTCCGCTATAAGCGGCCGAATAATTTCCGATTAAAGCTGCCGCAAATCCGACTTGTGATTAAGCACAACTCATAACAGTCCCTTAAAGTTACTCAACATATAATGGAAACATAACAGACTGGGTTCTGGGAAAAAATATTAACTAGCGATAATAAATATCGATCACGCTGTTCATTGTTTACCTTAGTTAGTATCGAAGCGAAATGCTTCATAACAGAACAAGCATGCGAGTTTAGGGTATTATTAAGGCTGTACAAACATGATTATTAAGATGAATTGGACTACGAACACCGGTCATGCCACTTCGTAAGCTGCACTTCAGTTATATCACACACACACACACACATATCACTCTACGCTACGTTACGCATCATAGGCACACAGACGCAGATACAAAGGGAAAAACGCTTATTGCCGCGGAAACCCTTTTACGAAGAAATATTGTCTGCCGAAGCACTAACCGCATAGAGATCAACGAAGACATTGCACAATAATAAAGAAATAAATAAGAAAGTACCGAGGGATAGAAATAGGTCACAACGAACAGCGATTACTTCGTTGATAAAAAAAGACTGAAGAATTACGATAAGACCACAAAGGTGATAATCGCAATGATAACGTAAATAAAAACAGTTATAACTGAAATGATTATTGTAGAAAAAGATAGAGCAAGCTGTTTTCTCATAGCAGTTTTTCAAATAGCAGTCTCTTTATTATTAAATGATCGTATTAATTAATAAAAAACATATTTCGTCAACGATGAGTGAATACATGAATGCCTCATATTTGTGGGTAAAAATATTGATTAGATTTATTAGCTGACTGTAGTACAGATACATGGATTATCCGTGTATATATATATATATATGTTTATAAAGTTTAAAATGTATATTAGTCGTTCTATTCGCCTGCTGGTATCGATTAACTCCGCACACTCTAAAGTCGTAGACATCTTCATTCGTTATCAAGTACCTGTGTTTTGACGGGTACTTCATAACGAATCCGAGGCACCGATGTGACCACGGAGGAGCCGCCATTAAGAACGCTGTCGGCATCATCAGCGCCATTTTCCTCCTTTCCTAAAAGTGACAGCCAGAATGATGACTACCGTAAATCGATACGCTTCCCTGTTTAGTTATGTAAACGTTTGTAGCGTGCGCTCCGTCTGTGTGGCATGTCTTAAGATTGTAAAAGTAACAAACATCTACGCACAAATCGGCAGTCATATCTCCGACCGTTTGTAGAGAAGTAGTGAACACAAGTAAGAACATTCGGAACTCTGGAATTGACGTTGACAGTCAATATCAGTATCAATTAGTAATATTTTACAATATTGAAACATTCTAATTTGAAACGTGAAATTATTGCATGAAAATATATTTTAAGCGTAAGCATATAAAGGCTGCACATAAATGGTATTAGATACTTGCATTGCAATTACTGTCGACTGAATCTTCCGTAAGTTTTTGAGCCACAGGTTGCTGATACGAACCCACCAGTGTGATTCATCCCATCGAACAAAGGTATCCCTGACTTGAAAAGCGTATAAAAGCAGATACAAACTGGTTCTTCCGTAAGCGCGCTTCCATAGTTATAACAGCACTCCGCCGAGATCTACACAGCTCCTCATTAGTGATCCGAAAAAGCTGTTTTGTTTACACCTCCTTACACGAATTCGCCACACAGACAACATCAAAAAATACGCTGATATTCCTACACGAGGTTTCATTGTACATTTAGCAGACATCGAAGATTGCCGACTTCACTTACATCTGTCTGTATTAGAAGTGTGATTGGCTCATTGATTTTTTATAAAATAATCGAAATATTACCGTAAAATTACAGTAACAAATAAGTTACTCTATTGACCGCTGTTTCGAAACACTTCTATTCTAGAATTCACAAACTCAATATTGACTTTTGTTAGATATACACACTTCAGACCACACAAGAGATACTTCCCTCAGCATCCATGAATGCAAGCAATTTAACTTAAATGATTTTCTTTTTATCGCCAGTACGTTATTATGAAAGCAATTCGTTGAAGTTATTGGCGACTGAAGTACCGTTACACAAAGCTGAAAGACTTAGATTTATAACTACGAATATCTAATCTTTTAAGGATTTTTTCATTCCAAAGTTTTGCAATCGAAATTTTTTAAGTTTCTTCATCACGGGGCAGAGATCCGTCAGCAGGTCGTTTCGCCAAATATATGGGTAAAAACATTGTCCGCGCAAGTGATGCCGTAACAAATTGTGCAACGTAAAATGTATCAAACGAATCCGACAGACCTTAAAACTAAATAACTCTTAAATAAGACTTGGCCTAGAATAATGAATTCCTATTATGCATTAATGTGCCGTTCTTTATTTTTTACATACTTTTCCCAGTGTCCTCGCAGTTTCGGAAGATTTGCGTTCTCATATGTCGTTTCGCTAGGTTTCTCCATGTAAGTCAATAGTGAAATACGTTTTCCCACCAGTTGCCTTGGGAAGGGCCCGCAATCACATTGAATTAGGAGGGTAGAATAAGCCGCTGCAAGACCACGTTGCATGTTCCTTTCTCCAATCCATGAAGTAATAGAGGAATGGCAATGAGGTCTAGCGTTGTCCTCAAGTAAGGACACTGTATGCTTCCGGTTGCTGTGTCATGAGTTTGCTGAGGAACCCGAAATAGTAGGGTGCATTGATTGTTTCACCTCTAGTATGACGCCATTGTTTCTTTCTTCGGCTGGTGGTAAGGATTGACCACACTCGTCTATGGCAATTGTATGTGCACATCGGGGTTTTTGTAGATGAAGGTCTCGTAAAGTGCACGTAGAATACTGGTCTGGAGTTAAGTTACGGGCGATTCAGTTTCCGCACTCTCAGCATTTAAGTTATAATTCTGTAACAGATTACATATAAATGCCAGTAAATGTTCGCCTACAGAATTTTCGAACTTCAAGCTCTACTTTCATAAGAAGCCTCTGCAATTGCAACAATATATATTCCTGTAGTTCATATTTTGCATTTGGTTACCTCCTCGCTGGCGTTCAATACCCCAGCGCTTATATCTCATTTTAATCAGTCTGTTGTCTGAGCGCTAGCTTCAGAATATTTTTGAAATAACGCGTAATCGTTAAACATTCTCTTATTCATCTTTCGCTTCTTGGATGATACTCGGGGCCATGGGGCCATCATAACAACCGCGCCCTAAAAGGGCAACAGGGTCACAGCACCAGCCCTTACTGGCTTAGTAGAAATGAGCACAGTTATCGTAAAAGCGGACGAAGACTACATCAAGGGCACATTAAAAATAGAAGGCCTGGGCTTTGGATAGGTGGCATGGATAACAGAGAGGGTGTACGCTGAGACAGCTGAAGCTGCTGGTGCAGCCTTTTTCGGAGATCTTACTGCTATTGCTGTAGTTGTTAATACATTGTGCCAATCGGCTGTGTCGGCATCGGTCGCAACGCTCTTGGCGTTGTCAGGCCAAGGGGTACGGAACGGTCCGGAGTAGTGCAAGAGACGACGCAATGTCGTCTGCTGCGCAGACAACGTATGACGGATAAAGCTTGCAAAGCAAGTCGGCGAGGCCTTTCTTATCTCAGTAAAATAAACTTTTGTTCGACTCACGGCACCCTCACTGTTAGTCGGCTGCGGCGGCAATGGCTTAGTCCTGCAGTCGACCTCGAACTCCATGCTAGCTCCCACTTACTGCCCAGGAACAGAGAGAGAAGGAAAAAGATAGGTTGTCGTAAGCATATCCATCTGTCCAACATTCGCAAGATGCGAGCGAGCAATTTAAGTATCCATATTTTGACCTCAATAAAGCTCAGCTTCCAACTTGCGTTACTTTAATAAGCTAACATTGTCCGCGGGTATTTTGTATAGTTATCGGGGTTTCATTTATTCGCTAATTTAATTAGGTGACATCAATAGGACGTCAGTCGGAGCGACGGTAGTACCAAGAAGGAAGCTCTAAATCTTATATCGTAACTATCAGGGTCCATATACAGCGGATGAGTAGACTACAGAAAGTACTTTCAAACTAGCAAAAAAGTGTGTAATCATCCACTCAAACGATGAGCTGGTGATAGTGAGACCTCGTCTCATCATGTATCAAAATAAACAACACGCTGATATTTTTCGACTTGGATTTTATTTAATGAGAAAAGGAAGTTGGTCTAAAAGAAAGTTTGCATCCGGACATATTAGAATGGTGCTTTTTTAACTTTTTCTTCTGAATCATCAGAAGGCGCGTTGACAGACATGGCTGTACTCGTTGTGTTCACAATCCGTTGACAAATACAACAGCTCTTACCAAAAGGCGTCCATGCGAGTTCCATAGTAGAATTATATCAGCGTATTGATAGATACCTGCATTTCTGCTTAGTTGCACGTATATTACTTTCGTTATTTGTACTCTCCACTTGCACTATTTGAATGCCCAAATGAAGTGCAGCTTTTTTTGAAGCATTAAAAAAATCCGTCTAGCCCTTAGCCAGGTCTCATGCTGCCAAGTGGCCTCGGTAATCGTTGTAATGCGAAAGTGTTGATAAAACGGATCACCCAGTACGCACATTACGTAGACACAGTATGAGCTCGGCGTAGTCGAATGCGTCACACGCCGCGTGCATGTTCCTGACACGCTAAGGGGTCTTTCTTTCCGTTTTTTTCGCTCGAATCTTTCTCGAATCACATGCACCATTCTCTATGCATGCGGGAAATGATACGGCATTGCAATGCACACAAGGAAAGCACAAAAAATCGGCATAAGTATGTAAGCTGTTTGAAAAAACAGACTAATAACGAAGGGCAGGCGAGGGAGTGGACGAAGGCACCGAGAGACAGAAAGAAAAAGAAGGGGAACAAAGCGAGGCGGTAACAGTAAGAAATGGAAGCTTTATCAACCTGCATAAAAGGGTTTAAGTCGATTTTTGGAACAGGCCAGTCGACCCGGTTCAAATAGTGCGGCTGCAGCAGGCTGAGGTTAACGGCAGTTGTAGCCATGGCCGTAACTGTGTTGTCGTTACTGCTGCCGGTGAAGAATGCTTACCATGGCACCAAATGCCGACGGCAGGCATTCCAGTGAGAAAGGACACTACTCCAGGATTACGTCCGGCTGGGGCATCGTTATTAGTTTCGTTAATGCGACCGCCTCTGCTGACGGTGCCGGTGTTTCTGCGACTGTCTCGGACCTTGCTGCTGTCCTTATTTTGGTCATTGTTGGTATTGCTTTTCAGCCCGATTTGGCCTGGCTGATCTGATTACATGACGAAGCGTTGAAATCACTGATGAGTTCTCTACCTAATACGCAACTGGAAGGCAGCGATGGACCACGAGGGGTGGTGTTCGTCGGGGGCAGCTTGACGGGAGTCAAAGCTGTCGCAATCATAGCTAATAACCGAGGGGTTGCTTCAACCTGTCTAACTCGACGTTCATTCTGCAAAACAAGAAGTAGAAGCGCTCTTTTTGACTATCTATTTATTACCATATTCTTCTGTCAAACACACACCCTTATGTGTAAATAGAGACGCTTTCTACTAATGTTTATTAATATACAGGTTGGTACGTTAAAAACGCTAATACGTATATAATTTCAATCATTATTTAAGAGATAAAATTTGTACTGAGTTTGTTTCTGTTCTGAACATTGATTGGCACGTGGCTGTATACCCTTACTGGAAATCCCTTTCCATCCCGCTAGATTTCTACTCAGATTTCTCGTCTCGAACTTGACAAATATTGAATGTTCTCCTTAATTAATCTTTTATGAAAAGGAGAGAAAACAACACTGAAATAAACCCTATTGACAACTCGATATTTGCGACCCATCGCAAAAGTTGCCTTAAGCTATTTAGCAATTTGAGGAGAAATCTTTCATCAAACGGGTAACTGATGGGAACTGAAGTATGATAAGTGAATGAATCGGTGTAACTGAGGACCAAAAAGAATTTTGCATATCTTCAAGTTGAGCGAAAAAGAAGGTGTAGTACTGTGTACAACATCGCGTTACGATGGATCTTATTTATGTCTTTTCGGCATTTTCTATCCATGTCACGTATACAATGCTTGCATGTATGATGGCTGCAAACATTTTTAGACTATATCTATGGCTAGTAATAGCCAAACGTTTTATTCTAATTTTTAGGCGGGCTGTAAGTTTTTCACTGTCTCGGCATTTTTTGTTCTAACTAGACAGGATGAGACGAATATTCTTTAATATATTGCAACGTATTACAGCAGTGTCATAGCAGGTATGCTCAGTGTATTTCAGCACAGTGTTTTGCCGACATTCAGTCATTCGTTAGCGTGACGACGTACATGGACGTAATGTACTTCTGGAAATACCCTCCACAATCTTGGTTGAGCATTGATTATAATTGTCTACAGGACGACGGCTACGGTATACGTTCGTATGCGTAGGATGCGCAAAGTAGACGATAGCCTGACTAACGCAATCTTAGCTATCCTGCCTCGGTCGGTCCTCACCGCCGCAGATTCGGCTGTAGATTCTTCCTGGCCATTGGAACTCTAAGCAGAAGATAGCGACGGCAGGCCGTGCGTCGGGGACGGTTCTGAGGTCGATGCAGGGCTCTTGATTAATGCCATTTACATCTGTGTCGCACTGAGCATGGCTGCGGCGGCTGCCTTTGCCATTGCCATCGCTACCGTTCACAGGCCTATGTACACTAGTCACCTAATAACGGAAATGATTGAATATGCACACGTGAGATATTACGACCTTCACTACAGAAATATTGCCGCTACCCTATTGCTTCCGCTGACGGCGATAACGACAGCGAAAGGGCGGAGACATTGGTCGCTTACTCGCTCGCGTGACTGTCGAACGACGATGAGCGCGAACAGTCTTTTTCTAATTCGACCCGATAAAAAAACAGCGAGAACGTTAACAACCTCGGCCAACACAAATGCACACGCATATACCAAGTACATTAGGATGGGTTTATATGAACCTACTTCGAAAATTTACCGAAATATATACATTTCGGCTATAATTTATGGTTAGTTGGATTGGTTAAATGGAACCGATAGTATAATTCAAAACATATTGTTTACTAGCTGTCATTGAAGTATTATAGAAGAGCAATGAGAAATGAGGGAGTCAATGGCAGGGTAGAAGACATAGATCGACCTTTTAGTAAAGCAATTCAGATCATTTTGCTAGAACAACAGTAGCAACTTGACAATTGTTTGTTTGAAACTTATAACTAGGGTAAGTAAGTGCGTGTTAGCAATGCGGATTTTTTATGCCTACGCATGTGTTCGCTTATAAATCGTACAACGATGGATGTTTATCCAGGACATCTTGTAACGTTGCGGAATTGTTTCCTCTCAGAGATCAGTTTTAATTAAATTTGCGGACATGTAATTTATTGCCTGGCCACGGAGCGAGTCGATAATTGTAATAGTGAGAAAATAAGAGTAAAGAAGATCTGGCAAAGTCCAGAAATAGTTTATTGTTCGCTGAACGATGCAACGCAGATAGTGGAAGCCGGCTTCTCGGAAGGGTGATGAAAGCACATTTAGAAACGCTCGAAAGATCTTATTTTAATTTTCAGGTGTGTGTGTATATAATACAGGTGTCGATGTATATATTTAAAGCTGCGCTACGAAAAGGAAGGTGAGTCAATCAAAAGCAGAGAAGCAACTGAATATGTCTTGCGTATTGTTACTACGGTTAGAACCTATCGAAGCCAAACTCTTTCCACTGCTGGCGAAGGTAAAGCGCCACTCTACTTTTTATCCGCAAATCCAAACTATATTAATTCTTAGTATAAATACTATTTTTTTACTATTTACTTTACCCATTAAAACACTGTCGTATTGTACAATACAGGCTGTACTTGAAACGTCATTTAGGCAATTTCGAATTTATTGAAACATACCTGGGGTCATTGTTCAAGTTAAATTCACGATAATCTCGTTATACCCATAGAATATAATATAGCAAGTATAGGATTCACATATCGTACACTAACTCGTCTGTGACGCTTAGTGATCGCCTAGAGATATTTCCGCTTTACAATGCTATGTCAACAACAGGTTTTCAAAATCTTTCAGAAAGCCGAACTGCCAAACGCCGTCTTCGCTATTTCATTGGCCGGAGGAAAAATGACGCCTCAAGCATTGGGGTTCTTGGGCCGTCATGCGTGTCCCTCATTATCGACTCTCCTTTTTAGCCCTACAGCTTCATTACATATCGCCAACGCCGCCCACTTCATCTACGTCCTACTGGACGTGAGTCACTTACATACGCGACGTGCTTCTCTATGCGGATAAAATCACTTCATGACAAAGTCCAGGGTTTTTATTACGTGCCTATATGTCAATGTAGCAACGTAACGTTTTGCAGTTCAACTAACGGCCGACATCACACAGCGCTACAACAGTGAAGACAACGAAGAAAAGGGAGAAGGAAAAGCCGATTGCTCTTGACTGTTGAAATTGGCCGACAAAACGTGTGCGTGTCTATGATGTTCTATGGGGTTTGTTTTTGGTTATTTTTACTTATCTGATGCCTTACGTTGTTGCGTCGCATTCAGATTGTGGCATTGAGAGTTGACTGCCCGCCGAAATGTCGTGCTGCGATAGCTTCAACCAAGCAATGTTCTATTTTGCCATAGACGTACGCTCTGCTTCATCGACTTCCATTAAGCTGGCACATCACCGATTTTACCATACGAGACCGCCGTCAGGCTGCCAAACGGATGCTTGAGATATACAACCAGATCGCGTAAGCTATGCTCATCTTTAGCATCTTTAAGACACATTTTGAGGATTATGTAATGGAACAAGCCCATAAACGAGTAAAGTAAACGAATGTAACGACAAACGCATTGTCGTATCTTAGCTTATTAACAGACGCTGCTGCAGTTACGACAAACAATAGCCGCTTCGATAACTCATCCATTTTCGTTCCTGCACTATGATGAACAAATTTTGGGATATGGGATTCGGCTAACTTGACGGCAGCAGTACGCACTAGAACGTCGTTCACTCAGTCCGCCAGCCGTCATCCAACAACTTGTAATTATACTGTTTATATTTATCGATCTAATATAACCAGACCGTAGTATGGTATAAGCCGGCATCACCAAGGTAAATAGGGGCTGACAAGTGTCCTTGTCAGCCGTTACTCTAGTCTGACTAATTGTACTTCATAACAGAAACGAGCATAACATTGAGCGCTAAATACTAGACTGCAAGTGCGTTGACATATCAATAAATGAGGATAATCTACCATTTGAGTGGGTTCATCGTTCATACATACGAGCAGCAATGACCGGTCCGCTGCAACCCGCCGAACGAATCCGCGCTAACGATTGTTGTTGTCTAGTATATATATATATATATAGTTAACTTAGCATCTATATACAGTTCGCAGATTGTCCGCACACACACATAGTAGGTAAGGTATCCGGCTAGACCGTTTGCACGCTAACAGGTGCAGATGATTGTTCGAGAGCGAAGGCTGTGGGCGTACCGAGGGCGGCATCGGGCCACCGAAAACTGCTAGCATTCAACGACGACGACAACAACAACAATTTTGCTATGGAACTACACATGTTTGCAAGGCCAGTACGTCTATACGAGCGCCCCTGCAAACGCAACACATGCCACCTCATTGTACCATTTCCGCTATTACCATTAGTCGGCGGGAGCCACCGATTTCAATTAGTCGACAAGATCGCCTGTGTAGATCCACTGACGCCAAGCAACTGATCGGACTCTGCTTGAATGGCAATTAGGCTTGCTGGCTCAACATAATTGCGCTGCTAGGAAAAAAGATCTGCTGCTTGCTACAAGGTCCATAGTGATTCACGAAGGGTTGAGTGGATACGATGCAGGTCAGCGCCAGGCTGATTCTATAGAGAATGATAAGGATAGAGGAGATGGTGATGGGGTGCTACTATGTAATTGGCCTTCTACGGGACTGAGCATACTCTATAGGATTGTAGGAAACAAGGATTCGATGGGGGCAATCCGGAACTGAAAACTGGGATGGGAGTTCTTGGGTTTGCTTCGGTTGAGCGGGCCGAAGGTTAAGGAACACACGAGAGGTTTGACCAGGCGACCTTCACTACTACTGAAGAAGCCGGGAGGTTGGATGAGCAAGCAGCTTGGGCGAACGGGCCTGGGGCTAGGGGGCGTGAGAGAACGGCTGTTGGTACCCGCTGCGCTTTTGTCCTTTCTTCAACAGGTCCACCACAATTGGGGTCAAGTGCTAGCATCCAGTCAGATTTGTTCTATTCGAGTAGCAGGAGCGACTAGGACAATGCTGTGCGCTGACCAACTTGGGAAGGACTAACTCGGGCACAACGCTGCAGGAACTTAACGGGGCAAACCGAAGGACAATCAATGGCTTTCAATTAATACGAAAACTATTATTGTTACTATTATTATTGAAAGCTATTATTATTGTTATTAATATTGCGCCACCGTCCCCTATCGGGAGGTAACTCCCATAATATTATCGTGTTCGACGCTGGGAAACTCATTACCACAAAACTATCAACACACGATGATAAGCCTCAAATCGTGTGCGTTTTTTTCCTTATATTTATGTATTATGCCACTCATACGCCACACCAAAATGCTTACTTCCAGTATCTAAAGAAGGTAGGGGCCGTTTTATTTCGAGCTTTGTTAGATTAGTCCCAATACGATTATACAGCTTTGTGTCACTATGATGGGCGGATTTTTGCGCTTAGAAATGTAGTGTAGTGCAAGCGTTTCGCATAAATCAGCTATTTTCTCTAAAAATGTTCTGCTTAATTTAGGCTACTCTAGTTGCTATGCTACATCCTCCCCAACCCTAATTTTAAGTATTCCTCATCTACCCCATTGATCCTCTAGACCTTTCAGTGAAGTAGAAATTGTCCTATAATATTACTTCTAGATGTAACAAGAAAGTACTTCTTTTAATTGTTGAAACGGTTTCGAACTACGCTTCGTCAAATGGTATGAAAGGAGGGCTTTGTAACAAACACAAATTCAAAACGATTTCGTTAAAAAACAATTTATCAATATGTAACCCTTTATTTAGAGATTTGCGTTCCCGGCAGTGTCTGATTGTCCTATAACAAAAAACAATAGGTAAAAGGATAGCTAAGGAAAGTGCTCGAATACTGATTTAAACCCTATCTCTCTTCTTTCTACGCTGTTCGGCAGTTAAACAGCAGGAATAAACTAGCAATTAGATACAGATAGAACTTTCGTCTATAAACCTTGAACTGATAGTCCGATAATGTGCCTGATTCTTGTTCTCCAACACGTTCCAGATTTGCTGCCTCTTGAAGAGTTACGGATTCGGCACAAGTAAAGGAGTCTCCTTCATGAATCAGTCTATTAGGTAATTGATTTAGGTTGTTGAACCTGCTCTTTATATCTGTTGCTCGGCCTTGAGTAGTGGCGTGACTTTGGCCGTGCGTTGCTATCTATTAGCGGTGTGCTAGATGTTCGGTGCACACGTTTAGCAGTGGGCTTTCGTCTTGAAAGTAAACTGCTTGTCATCCTACCCTGCCATTGCGGTGAACCTCTTGATGGTCGTACGGTTTTATGCTCAAAAAGCTCGGACCAAAGTTTCAAGCCTTCGGCCGTCAACAAAAATATTATCATTTTGACATCATCTATGAAAACTCTTGACTTAGAATCCACTTTATATGTGTTTCAGCTGACGATCTTTGTCGCTCGGATACTAAACGGACTAATGGAATGAGACATTTCCTTTATAAAGGGCACCAATGTCCTGATTTAAAATGGCGCCGCGATTGATCCTTCACACCCACCATACTTCAGTCGTAAAGCAGCGTACCCGAATCATACTGTCAACTTGGCACGTCAGCTTTCAGAAACCTTAGAATGAGAAATATCCTGCCCTAGTTCGATGATTCTTTTTCTTTTGAAACGTTAGAAGGCCGCGCCAAGGAACCTTTGACAAACGCTAAAGAGTAAGATAAAGGCTATCTAAGTGGAACCGCGTTCACGGCAGCTTCTAAGGAGTAGCTTTAGACATATAAAAGGGAAGTAAGGAGACGTGGCATGTTTCTATTGGTGGTCCACCAATAGAAACGCCATACACCATCCAATAAGGTGGCGTAAACTTTTTAAATGTGACTTCAATTTGTAACTTAGTCGTATGCTGATTACTGGTAAATAATGTATTCCGGTATACAGTATCGGCGGTCAACAACCATGAAACATTGAATTCACTACAATCCTCACGCTTTGAATAATGCCTTTCTATGGTATTGTAGTAACAGGTAGGCCAAAGCTATATTACCATATACCGACGACTTCTTACACCAGAGAAATATGCCAAGATTGTTTACCCTTGGAAATATTTTAACACATACGTTTCTTAATGTTCTGCGCGACTAATGTAAAAAATTATTTAAATAAATTTAATTATCCAAGGAATATATCGTGCCTTTGTAAAAGGCACCATTGTAAAAGGCATAACACTGACTATACTGGATGAGAAGGTCAACTCGATCTTAAGCGGCGGCAGAGCGACATTGTCGGTCAAGCAGATTTTGTGTAGTTATTGCGTTAGTTACTATATTATATCTTGTTAACAAAAGCAGTACATATCTAAACTCTATAGGGGCACAATATTTTAACGCAGCTTTTCTCGTGATTTCCTATTAGAAAACATACCTTTCCACCGTCTAAATGATCTACTGCATCCTTCGAAGTGCCTACAAAGGCAAAATAATACAGGTTTAGAGAAATCTCAACGGCCAGAAAATTTTAAAAAAATGCTTGAAAATCTGGTTGACGATTAAATATCTGTTAGCATTTCTTTGTCATTATCTTTAT